TGTGCTCTGATCAGATATGTCCCTCTCCCGGAGCTACAGATTCAATGCCATCCTTCGAAATAAATCCTTCTGAGGGGAGGGGCAGGTGTCCATGTAGTAGTTGGGATTGGGCCTGGCCCCTCAGACTGCTCCACTGGTTCCCTATCCACCAGCTTCTCACTCTTTGTCTATACCCTGCTGTGCATGTCTCACACAGGGGCAGCTCTTTCAGCTTGAAGTTCAGAAAGAAGACACAAAGAACGAGGTCCCGGGGATCCAAGCAAACATGCAAAGAGTGTAAAAGAGCTCAGCAGAACTGCAACTTCACAGTCAACTGAACGACACCCCAAACAAATGCAAAAGAAGTCTTGTGGATTTTTCCATCACTGAGAATTGTTAAGTTAATTTTTAGATAGACAGCTTAGGAATTACAAGAAAGCTTCAATTTCTCCCTCTCATGCAGACAATTCAGTTTAGTATACATTTATTAACAAGGGCTAACTTGTGCAAGATTGAGTTCAATACTGAAGATTCAATGATTTACAGTAATAACAATGGTAGACTCAACATGATTAGACTAGCAACATATTTAAGATGACAAAGAAATTTTTCTCTTCTTCACTCTCCTTCTTCCTCTGCTGTTCTGGTTAGTCAATAAATGTTGTTCTTGGAGGATTCTTTATAATCCTAAGACCTTAAGTCTTATGCATCAAGCTAGAAGACCGAACGTAAGCGCTGAACATGCTGTTAGGCCAATTAACAGAGCTGTCTTATGAACACGTGGCTCTAAACCTTTAACTTAAGAAATCAGCTCCCAAGAGGTGTTTGGTTGTATATACGCAGCTTCCGCATCATTTTTGTATGCTTTTTTTGGGTAAATTTATCTAGTACACAATTTTGTCAGTTCAGCTTTTTAAAGGTATACAATGTATTAATAGCAATTCTGATAATTAGTTGTGCAGCCCCACCTATAATCAATGAGGCATGATTTCCCAGCTGATCTCATGGGGCACAAGCTTCTGATGTTTTCAAAGCTGACCTTATTCAGGCAGAGATCATTTTCATTAGGAAATTTGTCTTGCATCAAAGACAGACTTTCTGTGTACAAATTGTTTCTTCTAAGCCTGTTTTTCTTCTCATCATGTTAAATGATTTGCCATTTATTATAATATCACTGCTTTCTGTGTACCCACCTGCTTCACAATATGCTAGAAAGTGGTTTTTAAAAAAAGTTATCGGATGCTCTTACCCTTCCTCATAAAGGGAGACACAGAGTGGTCCATTGCATCTTTCTCCATGGTGGTGTAATTTGCACTTGGGTTCTGCTTCATCACGTTGAATGAGGTGTGATAGAGGATTTTAGCCACTGTTTCTTCCGGCAGGTCTTTGTCCAGGAACTCTAGCAACTTATGAATGTTGCTCTTTGGGTCCTAACAAAATCATAAAGGAAAAGGGTTATTTTACGTATGTTTAGTCATTAGGTAGGCTATGTGTTTAATAAGATTCTGCTATGACAATAGAATAGAGGAAATAGATTCAGCTTTGAAAGCGAGTAAGGCTCATCGAACTCAGATGGTAAAGAAAACCACTCTCCAGGTCACAGGAGTCAGTTGTCATCACTCCCCCTTCACTCTCATGATGTAGAATATGCTGTGTCTCTGACCTCCACACCCAGATCATCTCAAAGAGAAAAGGGATGTGCACAGACGACCTGACATAGATTTAGAAAATATATGAGAAAATTAACAGATGGGTATAAATAGAACACTTCTCAAATGGATTATTCAAGTAATACAAACTAACACACTTGTTAAACCAAAGTAGATATTGAATTATTTTTCCATAGTAATCATCAAGTGGAAGATGAAAACTAAAAGGTCAATGCTTTATAGATTAAACAATAGAATTGCATTGCCTTTCCACTCTGTTTCTCATGGAAGAAGCTACCATATTGCTACTAATTTTAGGTGTGGTCATAGATTGACCCTATGGGCAACAGAATGAAACCTGCCTGGTCCGGCACCATCTTCATAATCATTGCTACAGTTGAGCCCATTGTTGAAGCCACTGTGTAAATCATATTCCAGGGAAATGACAATTATAGCTTCAAATTCAAAGATTTTGCATGACAGTGGAGGAGACCAGCAAAACATAAAAAACATAAACAGAATCATTAGAAGTTGTGGTATGACAATAAAAATAAGGGAGGATTGTAACAGATTTCTAGGGGAGATTATTTGACATTGTGGTCAGTAACGACTTCTCTGTATAATATAAGGTAAAACTTGAAGAATAAGAATTTAGTCTACGAATAATGGGAAACACCCATGCAAGTAGACTCACTCCCTGAGAAAGGGAAATGTGGCACAAGAAGAAGTTTGAATTATGACGAATTATATAAATTACCTTAATGACGTTATAGTTTATGAGGAACCTGTGTCATTGATAGATTGTAAATCAGAGTGGACAAACTCTGATTTAGTCTTCAAAAGATAATTATCTCTGCAACATTCTGGCTCAAAGCAGCCAAGAAGCAGAGAGGAACATAGGGCCAGCCCCACCGCGAGACACAATGTCTCTCACTGACCCATAGCGCTACAGGGGACAGCACTGGTGACACTGTGACCAGACCGAGCTGACCAGACCGGGCGGAATGCTAAGGGAATGCAGCATAGCAGCAGTGAGAGTGAAGCAAGAAGTCCTGAGTAAGACCAAAATTAGACTTTGGCATGGCACCCCTCCAGACTCAACTGGAAACACTCATAAAGGTCAACAGACAGACCGGAACTATGGATAGGCTTTTCTTTTTTCACTGTCGGTTTTGTTGTTGTTTTGTTTTCTTTTGTTGTTACGTTTCACTTTGCTTTGTTTTTGTGCGTATTATTGTCCCTGCATGTCTATCTAGAAAAGATAGGCAGGATAAACAATCCGGAGGAGAAAACGTGATTGACAGTTCCAGGGGGTGGGGGTGGGGTGCAAGGGAGAGGGGAGGTTGGGGGGAAAGTAGGGGGGTGCCAACAAACCCAGGGACAAGGGAAGAACAAGTGATCTAAAATCTACGGTGAGGAGGGCATAGGATGCTGGGGGTGGGGGTGGGGGAGCGGGAGGTGGCTTGATCAAGCGTAGCTGAGAGGAATTACCGAAACCCAAATGAAGGCTGATGATGATAGTGGTACAAGAAGAAAGTAAAAGGAAATAGAGGAAAGAACTAGAAGGCAAATACAGGTCTAAATACAGGCATGTATATATGCAAATACATTTATGCATAATCATAGGGGAATAGATCTATGTACATATATTTATTTGTAAAGTATTAAGGCAGCAGGTGGACAATGGGCCTCCACTCAAGTACTCCCTCAATGTAAGAACACTTTGTTCTACTAACCTGGCACTCTGTGATGCTCATCTTCCCTGACATGATCACTGAAGACAAAATGGGTGTATAAGCAAATATGAAGAAAGCTGATGGTGCCTGGCTATCAAAAGATATAGTTTCTGGGGTCTTAAAGGCTTGAAGATAAACAAGCGGCCATCTAGCTGAGAAGCAACAAAGTCCACATGGAAGGAGTACACAGCATGTGTGATCATGAGGTGTTGATGGGATCAGGTACTAGGCATCAAAGACCCCCCCCCAAAACCCAAACAAAACAAAATAATATTGATGTGAATGAGAAGGAGGAGAGAGTGGAGATCCAAAGTCCATCAGTATTCAGGTGGACATCCCCTTACAGAAGGGTTCAAAGGAAGAGACAAGCCAGTCAGTGTGCAGTAAAGCACGACGAAACACACAATTTTCCTATAGTTCTTTAATGCTTCCTTCCCCTCCGCCCAAATCATGACCTCAATTATACCTTACAAATCCATCTAGACCAGAAAATGTACACTGTTAAGATAAGAGCTTGCAACACAGGGAATCCAGGACAGATAAACCCCTCAGGACCACTAATCAGAATAGTGATACTAGGAGGGAAATGGAAGGGAGGGGGCGAGCAGCGGGGAGAAAGGGAGAACAGATCACAATGATTGACATATAACCTCCTCCTAGGGGGACAGACAACAGAAAAGTGGGTGAAGGGAGACAGTGGTCAGTGTAAGACATGAAAATTTTTTAATAAATTATCAAGGGTTTATGAAGGAGGGAGAGTGGGAGTGGGAGGAAAAATAATGAGGTGCTGGTACCAAGAACTCAAGTAGAAAGAAAATGTTTTGAAAATGATGATGGCAACATATGTGCATATGTACTTGACACAATGGAGATATATATATATATATATACACATATATATATATATATATTGAGATAAGAGCTGTAAGAGCCCCCAATAAAATGATAAAAAAAGATAATTATCTCTGATTGCATAATATGTGTTACTCTGAGGACTGAATGGTCGAAAGAAAGGTATTGTGAGTGCAAGAATTGATAGGATAATACACTAATAGTATTGAGATTTCATAAAAAATAGAGAAAAAATGATATTGTCTCTTACTTCTTTCATGTCTTCATAAAATAGGTACAAGATGCGATAATCTTTCCTCTTCTCCCACCAGTTCTTCACATGCTCATACCAGGAACCAAAACACACTGAATTTAAAGATAATTTTTTTTCAAATTTTAACTATTTAAATGAACAAGCATTGCTAAATGTAGTAAGTCACATTTTGTCAACATACTATTGATATCTATAAAGATATTATAAACTAAGAAGTATATGAATAACCTTACTTATTCTTGCTAATTTCAAATTTAATTAGAAAGGAGAAAATAACTTCAAATGAATAGAATGAAAAGTACAAGAACATGGACGATATGGGTAATGCAGACAATAAGTGATATGAAAGTTTATAGAGGGGGGAAGTGAGAAATCATAGGATGGATGGAGTTAATAAGAAAGGGATATGGAAAGGCTGGAGTGTATTTGGAACTAAGAGGAAGAATAGGGCTTGGCCAATGCTGAGAATTAGGGTGACGTTCTGAAAACAGAACGGTCTAACTAATGGCAAAGGTGAATGTGCGTATGCAAGATGCCCTTGAGATGCAGTTGAGCAAGAATGAAATTTTCACAGGATAATATTGAGAAATAAGGCTGCAGATATGAATCCATGGCTAACATACAGTGTCTTCATTTAGAGATGAGGATATTATTTTGTTTGTAGGGTGTATTAAAATATATAAACTCAAAAAAAACAAGCTCTCTGGCACCAGTTGATGTCAACTCATAACAACTCACAGGGTAGAGCAGCCTCTGTGAGTTTCCAGGACTGTAAGCCTTCACTTCAATGGAGAAAGCTCCAGTTTTTCCTGAGGAGCAGCTCGTGGGTTTCTAGCGGGACTGCTGTGGTTAGCAGCCCAGTGCCTATCTCACCATGCCACCAGGGCTCCGGTTAGAATAAATCGATATTATTAAATATGGTTTAACACGGTGGTATGGTTTGTAAAATGTCTTCAGGTGACTCGTTTAACATTAGAGACTCTGAAATGAATGATAAGCTATATAGACCGAAATAATAATAATAATGATCAAAGTTTTGCGCTTGTTTCTAGTCATTTTCTCTAGGAGTCTCACAAATAAGAAACAATACTAAAGATTTGAAATGAAGATGAAAATGTGCACCCATTCCATTGCATTCTACTCTGTAAGGGCTTCCGTTTACCTGTGTTTCAATCATGTGAATTTTTGAAAATGTGTGCTAATTTGTTTCCTTGACTTTTGTCTTGGTGCATTCTGACTCATACGGTGCATTTCTGCCAAAGATTGTCTGGAAATTCCACTGAAATATCTCTATGATGTCAAGGACTTACAATCATTCATTGTTGCTTGGTACATTGAGTTTATGCTTAAGTTTTATAGCCCTTCATACACCCCAACAACTATAAGCTCTTTAAATCTGTATATCCAACAGAATGACGTGATAGTGGAGGCTAAATTGAAGGGCACTCATTAATATATAATTAAATTTATATTATAAAGACCAGGCCTAGGTTCATTTCAAGTAAAAATTCTAAAAAATTAATTTAAATCATTATGATAATACATTGAGATTTAAGGGGAATTGATGTCAAAACGCAAACTTCATCCATGATTTGAGAGGACATGTGGATTGCTGTTGTGACTCACTGCCGTCACGTCAATCCTGACTCAAGGACAGAGTGGAATGCTCCTTCGGGTTTCCAAGACTGTCTGTCTTTAAGGGAGTGGAAAGTCTCAGTTTCCGCCATGTCTCAGCAGGTATGTTCAAGCTGCTGACATCTTTAGCAGCCCATCCCACAGCCCACTACACATCAAGGCTTCTCAACTGACAGCTAGAGAAGGAAAAATGATTCTATATTTTACAGCACAAACTAGTAGAAATATATAAAAAGTATTTTAAAGATAAACTTGACTTGAATAGTTAAATCCTTGTCAATTGATCCCCACTCTGATGCATATTGGGCCTGATGTGGTTTTCAACCTCTTCTGTTTGATTTTTCAAATTGCTTGTTGTTTTTTTCCCCATATTGTTGTTTATCTCAGATGCATTTTGTCATTGGGGGTAATCCTGTTGTATGTTTGCTACATGGTTTTCTATTTTGTAGCTTAGGAAACCCAGGATTGATGAACCTCTAAAGACAGCAAGTAGAATAAGGGCTCCTGGGGGGCACCTGTGCGTGTGTTGGGGGGAGGGAGCTGTCAAGAGGAGCTGATGTCAAGGAGTTCAAGAAGGAAGAGAAGGTTTTGAAATTGACTGTGGTAGCAATTGTACAATACTGCTCAGTGAGTTTGAACTATGGAATGGTATGATATCTGTATTAACTCCCAATAAAATGTGTTTTTTGAGGGATGGGGGGAGGCGAGGGCAGTATTTAAAAAAGAAATCCCAATTTGGTCATACTCAAAGAAATCAGTTTTGAACACGTTAAAGTTTATACAGTGAATTTCCACACGGCTGTCTTGCAGGTATTTGAATACATCCTGTGTTTGCAAGTGAAAAAAGAACTTGAAAAATGCCTGGGGGAACTATTGGGAGAGTTACTGCGAGAGATATACATATGTGTCTCTGCAAAGGAAAATAGACATGTAAAATTACAAAGCATTGGGAATTTAGTCCTCACTCAAGCATTTGTATGGTTCATTAAAAATAAATAAAATAAAATGAAAATAAATGAACACATGTACAAAATGTAAACAGTATCATGGCATGGATGCACACTCCACCAAAAGTGAGATGCTTAAAACAATTGTCATTAATAACTTCTTGTTGATAGACGCTGCCAGTTCTGATTCATGGCCGCCCTGTGAACAACAGAACGGCTCGACTCCACCCTCACAATTGCTCTTATGTTTGAGCCGTGGCTGCAGCCACTGTGTCAATCCATCTTGGTGAGGTTTTCCTCTTTTTTGATAACCCACCAGTTTGCCAGTACAATAACTTTGTACTAGTAAAATATTCAAGAAATTAAATGATGTATTTCACTGTGCAATTTTGCTGTAAAATATCTTCAGAAAGTGTTAAAAAGCAATGGCATGAAGACTAAGGTGCCCCTGGCTCAAGCCACAGTATTTGTAATCACCCCATATGCATGGAAAAGCTATCCAGTGGATAAGGCAGGCTGAATATGAAATTATGGCCTTGAATTATGGTGTTGGTGAAGAATACTGAATATACCATGGTCTATACGAAGAATGAAAAAAATGTGTCTTGGAAGAATTACAAGCAGAATGCTTCCTATTAGCTAGGATGGTAAGAATTCATCTCACTTACTATGGGCATGTTATCAGAAGCCAGTCCATGAAAAAGGACATCATACTGGGTAGATGGTACATGAAAAAAATGTAGTGACTCTAACAATGGGTTCAGTAAAGCTACAGTTGTGAGGATGTGGAAGAACTGGATATTGTTTATTCTGTTGTCATAGGGTCACTGTGAGTCAAAACCAACTGACAGCATCTACTAACAAGAACAAAACCAATAAGACGTTGAAACTATGGTGGGTTCAGAAATCCATGGATCGCATATTCCAGAAAAGTGTACTTCTCTAAGGGAAGACGTAATTATTCTGCTTCTTTTATCTTCTTCACAAAGTATTCTTAAGATGTTGAGCACATGTTAGGTTTATAATAAGCACCCAATTTACATTTCATATTTCTATATCTATATCCTTCCAAAATAAGACCTTTCACTATGAAAGACCGTGATTAAAGAAGAGTTGCACCAACCTTTCCCAGTCATGAACTTGTCCAGGAACTCTTCCCAGGTACCAGGCTCTGGGTGCAATTTTGCCATTTGGTAAAAATAATAGTAAGAGACAGCCACATCTTTGGCATTTCGTGCCACATAGATCATCTGTTAATAAAAGTGGAAATTTAGCATTTTATTTTTGTTTTCTAATAATTAGAAAATATTCGCTTGTCTTGACAGAATGCTTAGTTTTATCTTTCTATTCCTAATCATAGCATTTATATCTACTTTTTTGACATCCAATAGTCAATACTATACAAATCATTCTGAAACACAGAATTCACTCAATCCTACTTTTTCTTCAGCCTTTAATAAGAAGAAATGCAGTGACTGCCTGCCCTTCTATGTTCACTTCCCACAATCTACACAATGCGCTTCACTGTGTTGAAAACGTGTAGACCTTTGGCATATGCCTTTCTGATTCACATCTTTCCACTTACGTACATGCCATCGTCTCTCTGTGATGCCCTTCTTGTACTCTTGACAATGCTACTTTCCTCAGGACGCTAATAACGTTCTTCATCTATTAGATTTCCTTAGCTCATCGGCAGGGTCTAGACTCTAGAATCTCCTTTTTCCTTCATCCGCTGCTGTTTATAGTACATGCGGTGGTTAGATTTTATGTCCAACCTACCCACCATGTCTCAGACTGATGATGCCTCCTTGTTTGTGTGGTCTTTTTATAACCTCCCCTCTCTTGCCTTTCACTGGCTTTTTAATTGACATTTTGTGTCTGCCTCCAGGGGCAGCCCCATGTGGGCTGACAACTCTGGAAGCTGCCGGTGCCCTTCTGTGTTCCCACCCACCTTGGATCCACTTGACTCTCCACCCGCTAGCCTGTGACCTCTCTGCTTCCTGCTTTACCTTTCTGCTTCCTTGGCCAGCAGTCATGTGATGGAGTCTAAAGAGGACTCTGGCTAGCATTGGACACATAGACTGACCTTGGGCTGAGTTGGGAAGCCTTCTTGATATAAAACGATTCCTCCATTAAAAGGTCTTTCTTTTACATATGTGAGCATCACTGGTTTTGTTTCCTTAGATAACCCAGTCTAACACACTAATACTTTGTAATTATTTTAAAATATGTTTGTCATGGTGTGAGGTTTTCTATGTGACCCTATGCAACATGAGGCAAAGGGCACAGACTTTTAAAAAATCATTGCACTCTAATAGCAGAGGGAGGCAAAAAGCATACAGAAGAAATTCAATAGTTTTCAGAGAAATTAAATAAAGGAAATAATGTACTAAGATTGCAGAGAACATCAAATTTATTTTTGCATTTACAACACAAGTACAGTAGCCGATAAAATCAGGTCATGATGCTACTGTAGCTTAGAATACAACATTTTGTGAGTCATCATGTTATATATAAAAACATAGAAACAAAATTAGAAGCTTAATATGAATAGCTATCACAAGTATACTGTTGCATAAAGTGCTAAACCTTCAAAAGCATATACTTTATGACTTCAGACAAGCACACGCACAACAGAACAAACGCTGCTGTGTCCTGAATTCCCCATGGTTAGGTGGGGGTAGGGCTGTTGTGATTCATAAGGTGTTTACTGACTGCTTTTTAGAAGTAGATAGCCAGACCTTTCTTCCTACCGTATCGTAATCTAAAAGCTCTGCTGAAACCTGATGGCACCACAGGAAGTCCATAGGCAAGGATTGATCCCAGGTCTTCTACACGGATGTTTACAATTCTACCACTGAACATAAATCATGTTCTTTTGGGGTGCTGGTAATATGGAAATTGAATAGTGCTTCTGTAAGATTGCCATGAACACATTGTGGTGTTAATCAAAAGTTGGAAACTGGAGTTCATCTAGATGCCCCTGGGGGAAACGGCCTGAAAATCTGTTCTCTGTAAGTCAGTCATTGAAAACCTTATGGAGCATAGTTTGACCCGGACACACGTGGTTTCTATGAGTCACAGTCAACTCTGTGGCAATTGATATTGATATGATTATAGCTAAACAGGCAAACTAACTGGTGGTGAAAGTTTTCAAAACTGTGGTAATCTTAATGAGTGGAGATTGCTTCCTGGAAGTGGGCGAGGAATGGGCTTTTGCAGTGCTAGTAATGTTAATCTGGGTACTGATTTCCGGATTATGCCTGTTTTACAAGAATTTATAACACTAAATAATTATGATGTGTGCATGCTTCTCTCCAAATATTATACTTCAATATAATGTCTATTAAATGAAGTCACAAATCATACTTCACATTTTTCCGTTGAAATTAGTATGATACAGGAAAAATTACATTCTGGGGTAATTTGATTATTGTTTCAAAGAAGCTGACAATGAGGAAAAAGATTTGTTAGTGTGACAGACGTCTTTGAGAATAAAAATATGACATATACTCTATGTTTTAGCATTGAATTCAATTCCTGTCTTTAGTGTTTGTGCCCAAGACCCTCTTATATGCACTTGTACTAGTTAATTTCTGGGATAAAGGGTGCATATTATTATTTTCCAAATTATTTATCCATTAGTCACAGAACCACATCTATCCTTCTGAACAGCTGGTAAAGAAATAAAAGCATAAACAAGGATAGCCTTCACGAAACTTGTTACCTTGCAGTCATTCTTCCAGAATGAAGAAGGGAGAAGTTGGACAGGCAGATGGGTTTTTATCAGTCGAGGAGACTGTATGTTTTCCAGCTGTTTAATGCCTACAGGTACAAAAATTAGAAAAGCATATTATAAATGTGTGATCACAAACATCAGTTACAATATAACCTAAGCCTTCGTAAACTTTAATCTCACTCTGTGGTTTCAAATGAGTAGAATCCTCATATGCTCCTAAAAATCTACCACGAGAACACAAAATGATAAATCCTGCATCATCAGAATGCTTTATGACCTATTACCTATCATTTTTTGATAAGCATCTTTATTACCTAATTTTTGTAAGCATCTCAGATAGAATGCCATCGTGGAGCAAAACACATAGTGAGTCAAGAGGTCTAGAAAAAAGATACCCAGATTTTTCTTTGTTACTTTTCTCTTTTTACCAATTATAATATGGAAATTGAAATAGGGAATTTAAAAATTCCTTTCCAGCTTTCTGATCTTCAAAATCTACAATCAAAGGAAATCGAAGATAGGTTTATACTTATCTTCAAAAAGTTTTCATGTAAAGCTATATATTTCCATAATATCTCTCCTTGAGTTGGTAAACACCAGCTAACTAGCTCTCGAAAGCCCGGTGCCATCGAGTCTATTTCCATATTCATAGTGACCCTAGGACAGAGTCGAACTGTTTCTGTGGGTTTCCAAGCCTGTAATTCTTTATGGGAATTGAAAGCCTTACCTTTCTCCCGAGGAATGGCTGGTGATTTGAACTGCTGGACTTGTGGTTAGCAGCTCTACACATAACCCACTACTGCACCACGGCTCCTAGTGAACTAGTATTATACATACATTTATATTTAATGACATAGTGCATTTTGTTACCTAATGATTATACAATCTGTAAGTGTCAAAGATGTGGTTGTCGTGGGTGCAGCCATGTCAGCTACGCTCACCATAACAGAACTGCACAGTCAGTCCTGCTCCGTCCTACTGATCACTGTATGTCTTAGCCCATTGCTGCAGCCACTATGCCAATCTGTCTTTTGAGGACTTTCCTCTTTTTGGTTGCCCCTCCACTTTACCAAACTTGATGTCCTTCTGCAGAACTGATCTCTCCTGTCCAAAGCATGTCGGACTAGGTCTTGCCATTCTTTCCTCCACGGAGCACTCTGGCCATACTTTTTCCATACAGACAAGTTTCTCCTTTCCGCAGTCCATGGTATTTTCAACATTCGTCTCCAGCAACACTATTCAAATGCACCAGTTCTTCTTCGAGCTTCCTTCTTCAGTGTCCAACTTTCACGGCATATAAAGCTATTGAAAACACTGTGGCTTGGGTCAGGCACACACTAGTCCTCACAGTAGCATCTTTGCTTTTCAAGACTCTAAAGAGGCCTTGTGCAGCCGCTTTACCTAATGCAATGCATATTTTGATCCCTTGACAACTGCTTCTATGAGCGTTGATTGTGGATCCAAGGAAGACAAAATCCTCGACAACGTCAACCTTCTCTCCCCTTATCATGATGTTGCCTATTGTTCCAGTTGTGAGGATTTGGGTTTTCTTCACATGGAGTCGTAATCCATACTGAAGGCTGTAATCGTTGATCTTCATCCGCAACTGCTTCAAGTGGTCCTCACTCTCAGCAAGCTAGATTGTGCCATCTGCGTACCACATGCTGATAGTAAGCCTTCCTCCATCCTTATGTCACATTCTTCTTCATGTGATGCAGCTTTGTGGCCAATAGCTCAGCATACTGATTTCACAAATACGGCGAGAGAATCCAACCCGCCCCCACCTTTCCTGATTTTAATCTGTGCAGTATTCCCTTTTTCCATTCACACAATTGTCTCTTGATGCATGTACAGTTTCCTCCTGGGCATGATGAAGTGCTCCAAAATTCCCATTCTTATCAAGGGTATCCATAGTTTTTTATGGTCCACAGAGTCAAATACCTTTCCATAGTCAATAAAACACAAGTAAACATCTTTTTGGTAAACTCTGCTTTGAGCCAAGATCCATCTAATATCTGCAATGATATCCCTCGTTCCAAGTCCTCTTCTGAATCCTGCCTGAATCTGGCAGCTCCCTGTCAGTGTACTGCTTCAACCATTGTTGGATGATCTTTAGAAAACATTGATCTGCTTGTGATATCAATGATATTGTTTTATAGTCTGAGCATCCTGTTGGGCCACTTTTCTTTAGAATGGGCCAGTTATGGATCTCTTCCTGTCACTTGGCCAAGTAGCTATCCTCCAAATTTCCTGGCATAGATGAATGAATGCTTCCAGGGTTTCTTCAGCTTTCTGAAACATTTCAATGTTTATTCCATCAATTCCTGGAGCCCTGTATTTGGCTAATCCCTTCGGTGCTGCTTGAACTTCTTCCTTCAGCACCTTTAGTTCTTGCTCACATGCTACCCTCTGAAGTAGAGGGATGTCGACTAGTTCTTTGTGGAACAGCGACTCTGTATTCTTTCCATCTCTTGATGCTTCATGCATGGGTCAATATTTTGTTCATAGAATCTTTCAAGATTGCAATATGAGGTTTGAAATTTACCTGAGTTCTTCGGTTTAAGATATGCTGAATGTGTTCTTCCCTTTTGTTTTTCTAATTCTAGGTCTTTACACATTTAATTATAATATTTGGCTTGTCTCCTAGAGCTGCCCTTTGGATTTTCCTACTCAGTTCTTTACGTTCATTCTTTCTTTCATTTGCTTTAGCTGCTCTATGATCAAAACCGACTTTCAGAGTCTTCTCTGATATCCAGTTTGAGCCTTTCTTTCTCTCCTGTCTTTTTAATGACCATTTGTTTTCCTCATGAACGATGGATTTGATGCTCTCCCACAGGTCTTCTGGCATTAGTGTTTAAAGGAGCAAATCTATTCTGAAGATACTCTCAAAATTCAGACTCAAGATCGCATTTTGCCTTTTGTGAATGTGTTTTTATTTTCTTCAGCTTTATCTTGAGCTTACATGTGAGCAAACGATGCTCTGTGCCACAGTCGTCCACTGGGCTGGTTTTAGCTGCTGACATTGAGCTTCTCCGTTGTGTTTCCCACTGATGTAGCCAGTTTGATTCCTGCGTATTCCACCTAGAGAATTACATGTGCAGAATCTCCTTTTGCGTGTTCTTCCCTTTGAAGTAGGAGGTCAAGTCCTTTATTACCGGTTCTTGGTCCGGAAGCTCTACTGAAACCCATTCACTTTGGGTGACCTACCTGGCATTTGAAATACCAATAAAATCGTTTCCAGCATCACAGCAACACTCAGGCCACCAAAGTGTGACAGACACACAGAGAAGTGGTGGGTTGAAGACTTACAGCTACTCTGTTAAGAAAAATATACTTTATAAAATCTGTTCTTATACAGATATTATCATTGTATGGGCATGTAGATGAGAAGTGTAATAAGGTTATCAGTGTAGTATATTTCTAACAATCCTAACAAAACAAAGTCATAGTCTTGGAATCAATTCAGACTCATGGAGACCCTACAGGACAGAGCAGAACTGCCTCTCCAGGATTCCTAAAGATAGAAATCTTTACAGAACAGATTGACACAGTTTTCTCTAGGGAGCTACTATTGGGTTCAAATCACTAACACATTCATTTGTTAGCATTGAATGCTTTACCACTGCACCATCTCTCAACTGTCTAAGTGAACGTTTCATTCTGACTCTTCCAAACATCACAAAAGGTGTGTGTGGCATGGCCAACCCCACTATGAGACGAGATGCTCCTCACTGGCCCATGGCCCTGCGAGGGACAACACCAGGGACACAGTGTGGGAATTGCGCCTGAT